TTCCTTCCTTCCTTCCTTCCTTCCTTCCTGTTCTTAGTCAAGAATAAGGAACAATTATTTTTAGAAAGCTAATAAAAGCAGGGCATTTTCTCATTACAGGCAAGATATTCAAAGTATTAAATGTTAAAAAAAAGATAAATGTATTACTGACCTTATTACATCATGTTTATTTATTAGAATTAATCTAATAGCATAGATCTGATAAATTTATATATAGTCATGGTCTTTTGAAACTTTACCTTTAATCTTGAATTCTTTATTTTTGGATAACATTTTTGGAAGAAGAATGCCCATACATGCCAGGCTAAACCCAGTATTTCTTGAACTTCAGCTTGCACAATAGGACTGACCTACCTTTGCTCTTCTCTTCCTCTGTATACTCCAAATCCTTTCTAAGGCTCTCCCAATGCTCTGGAGCATATTTGGGACGCTTTTGTAGAGGAAATCTGTTTCAGATGCAGAAGTGTTTTGTTGTACAAACACAAGTTGATATAACCAATACTTTTGTATAGATATATTTCACTTCCATGAGCTATGACATTAGGTAATAGGTAACGTTTCTGATTCATTGCCTCTCTTTCTAAGGGAAAGATTTTGCTAACTTACTGTCCAAAAATACATTTAAGCATTTCTACTTGTGATAGTTACTGTAACTTCTGTGCCAATTTTATGAATAGTTTTAAGGTGGAGTACCAATATTCTCTTAGAATCATAGGGTTGAAAGGGACTTTGGGGGTCCCTGGCCAGTGCAAGAATCCTCATACCATTCTGGACAAGTGGTTGTCCAGTCTTTTCTTGAAAACCTCCAGTGATGGAGCACCCATAACTTCAGGAGGCAGCCTGTTCCATTGCTTAATACTCTCACAGTCAGGAAATTCCTCATTAGTTTAAGTTTGGATCTCTCACTGTAAAGCTTCCACCCATTGGTTCTTCTCTTATCCTGAGGTGCTAGGGAGAATAAATCTACTCCCTCTTTCCTGTGACATCCCTTCATGCATCAGAAGTCTGCTATCATTGCCTCCCCTTTCCTTCACTTCTTTAAGCTAAATGTACCAAGTTCCCTTATCTGCTGTTTGTAGGATTTGGCGTCCAGGCCCCTTACCATTGTTGTTGCTCTTCTCTGCACTCTTTCCAGTTCCTCAGCATCTTTTAGTATAATGGTGGCATCCTTTTTGTATTCATTTCAGTTTTCCATGGATAGGTGGGAGATCAAATACTGGATTGAGAAAGGGCAGGTATGGTACCAGATAATATTATTTGTTCAGACTGCCAGACTGGAAGGCATACTTTGATGGGATATATCTGCCTTTAAATCATTGTTTTTCAAACTTGGCAATTTTAAGATGTGTGGACTTCAACTCTCAGAATTCCCCAACCAGCATTGCTGGCTGGGGAATTCTGGAAGTTGAAGTCCACATATCTTAAAGTTGCCAAGTTTGAAAAATAATGATTTAAATAGTGTTGCCTTCTTTATGAGGCAGTAGCACATTGCTTGCTATGTTCTGGCGGTTTTTAATTTAAGTCAGGGATACTAAAATTACATTCCGCAATGTAGGAACCTCCAGCTTTCTTGAAGTTCAGGACTCATCACATCTGATGGACAACCAGTTGGCGTATGCATTTGTTTATAAAACACTAAGTTTCATGAATGGGTCAACTAATATGTATTTACATGATATATTATAAATAATGCAATTTATGTCATTAAAGGTAAATTAGCTTTATAAGAAAGAAGGTATTACATATTAGAACTATATGCAATATGTTGTATATATTGAAATATGTGCAATTTCCTATTTATTTTGGAAGGCCTTATTTTATGTAGTGCATCTAAAGTCAGTGTGCAAAATTTAATTGCTTAAGCTGAAGCCCTTGCACATTTTTCCACAGTATAACCCATGGAATTTAATGAGGCTTACTTTTGATTAGACCTGCATAGAATTGCACTGTAAAACCTCTAACCCTACTACTAGTAGGAAACTCCACTGAACTCACTGGGACTTCTCAGAGGATAGAAATAGATTTTACAGGAAACATTTTATTTCTACAATATACCTGTATAGGTTTTTATATTTGGAGTCTTTTATATTTGGAGTCGGCGATAATAATAAGAATACTTATTATTATAAATACATGCCTACTATGTAATCTTTTTATAATATTGAAAGCCTGGAAGGTTCTTTATTTCAGTGTTTGCTTTCAAGTTTTGATCTGCATTTGGAAGCACTCAATCTAACAATCCAGGCCTAAAGTATTAATTCATCAGTTTCAAACGAAATTACCTTTTTGTTTTTTTTTCAGGGACAGAATATAGCATGAATGTTTCTCTCTGCAAATCAATTCAAGCTCTGAAATGATTTTTTTTCTTATGAGACAAGGCATGCTGGGCTGTAATGAATCAAAGTATAGGTTCTGAAGCATGAAAGTACCAATTTAAAAGTTTTTGAGGATCTAACTAGACATCTGTTCTGCAGGATTACACATTATTAATGGAATACATAAGAAATATATTATTTCTTCATTTATTAGTGCAAATATATTATTTGTTACCATCCTTTAAACATACAGATTGTTTTTTTCCCCCAAGCAATCTATTATAATATAAAGCCAACCTAACAGGGATAACATTGACATGAAGCAGCACAGATTATTTGTTTAAGTCAGTTTTCAGTGGGTGAGTGATGCTGTGTTCCCGTTTCCAGTGTTGATGTTAGCTTCTAGACAGATATTATTTAAAGTGAGTTGGTCTACAAATCAGTCACTCTATCCCAGTCCAACCACAGAATTGCTGCTGTGGAAAAAAAATAGGAGGAAGCACTCAGTAGACTGCTTTGAGCTCTTGAATAAAAGGTGGGATATAAATCTAATACTGTAAACAATGAAGCATCTATACAACACCCTCATATTTTACATATTAGCTCATATATACATGCCTGCCTCATTTAATGGGAATAATGTGTTTAGGCAGGCATGTGTTTAGGAAAGACCTGGAACAGAAGTACTCCAAAAATGCAGTTATCTCATACATACCTGATATTTCACAAACATGCAGTTTTTCAAAATTTCAAAATAACATTTTTTAGAAAACTACCTCCATGCTTCACCTCTGTATACTTTGGTTTCAAAACAGAAGGGAACTTTTCCTGAGATTATGCAATGTGAGAGATTTAATAGCAAGGAAGCAAGCTTTGTTTATTTATTTATTTTTAAAAAATTCTTGTGTACCCATACAAGGGTGTTTTGTACCAAAAAATGTTCTAGAAACTGTTTGAACCATTAATAACTTAGGATAGATTTATTAATTAATTAATGTCCTTTGCATATTAACCTGCTGTAGCTGATCTCATGAAAAAATATTTCAATGCAAATAAGAGTTTCTTTCACTGTTACTAAACAGGTATACAAATGTTATTGTATAATAGGCTTCTTTTATTATTTTAAAACATAGAAAAGTATTACTATGATAAGAAGGTTCAGGCAGGGAAATGGCAACTAGGGATATTTTATAGGTCTGAAATTCTGGAATTTCAGGGATTACAATTGCAATTACTGCTCAGTTAAGAAAAGTGGGCAGAGTATAGCAGAAGGTGAGGTTTGTAGGATTATTTTTTAATAAACATTTAACAAAAATAAATTGTGTGGATTCTGATTGCAGTGTTATAAGCTACCCAAGCTTACATACAACATAATGAGAAAGAACACTCATATCTGTCCAATCTCTATTTGTGTGCTGATTTTCCTTTTTTTCAATGAGAAAGAAAGCTGTTGTTCAAAACAGGAAATAGAGAGAAGTAATTTCACATGATTGTTTTCAA